CGGGTAAAACAATTTTTCAATTTTGAGTGAACTATTCTTTTAACTATAACTTAAAAGTTAAATCAATTGCCAGTTACAATACCATCAGCAGTTGCTATCATTCATTTCTCACCGTGTCAGGTTATGAGACACTTCACTTGGCTGTAGGCTACTGCAAGCAGGGAATTCATGAATGCTGATTGGAGAGAGCGCACTCTTGGCTGTGATGGTTGTAGTTTTATTGGATCACAGGCTGTAAAAAGTTCTTTGACAGACCACCTCAGCCTCTTTCAGCGCAGATAAGTGAAAAAGTGAGTGACGTGACATGTGGCCAAGTATGGTGACCCATACTTGGAATTAGTGCTCTGCATTTAACCCATCCAAAGTGCACACACACAGCAGTGAACACACACACATCGTGAACACACACCCGGAGCAGTGGGCAGCCATTTATGCTGCGGCGCCCGGGGAGCAGTTGGGGGTTCGGTGCCTTGCTCAAGGGCACCTCAGTCGTGGTATTGAAGGTGGGAGAGAGCGCTGTACATTCACTCCCCCACCTACAATCCCTGCCGGTACGAGACTCGAACCCGCAACCTTTGGGTTACAAGTCCGACTCCGAGATAGGCATTTACCTTCCACATCTCTCTATGCCCCAGTTCAACCCCACACATGCCCAATTTCACTGACAGTGTTATTATTGCAGATCTACAGATGAAGTACACTCGCTGACCCTGGACTTCACAGAATGCCATTAGTTTGTCATTAGCTCCATAAAACATGCAGCTTTTTACAGTGTGCACAAATACATAGTAAAATCAAATGGGAAAAAAACCCCGTAAAGGTTGCATTTGTCACCCGACTGGCACAACATGCATTACAGCTTCTACAGCCAAACAATAAACAAATATACAAAGGGCTAATGCTGTCACACCTTCTCCTCTGAAGATTGTAGAATTGTGATGTGATGTGATTTGCATTCAAAGGATTTTGATCAGAATAAAATGATTCTTTTTCTCTATCCCATTCCCATACCTACTACCTAATCCTTATCTAAATAAAGACAGAAAGCCCACAAATATAACTTAAAAAAAAAAATGATAATAATGAAAATGAGAGTACATTGCATAAACGGAACTAAAACTAAAACGACAAAAAAAAACTCGAAATAGGATAAAAACATTCAAAACAAAAAAACATTAAACATAGGGCCTACATGATTATGATCAATATCAATTTGTTTCCATCGTGATTCTTTAATCACAATACACCCCAACAGAGAAAGTCAGGGCTCAACAAAGTCTCACTTGAGTGTCTTACTGTAAACACCTAAAAGACCTTATGCTGGTGTTCACATACTGTATCTCGTAAATATGATCATTCTGACAGGACTAAAAGTCTTTTTTTTTTTGCAAATAATTTTAACAAATATTTTTCCATCTTCTACTAGCCAACAGCCATTTCCCAGTATACCACAAACTGTATCGACTAAGCGTTCTTCAAAGTCATTTTATGTACAGTATCGCTCTCTCTGTAGGATTGTAAGACAAATGCGATATCCCACATCGCATCATTAGACATGAGGCTGTTTAATTAAACCCTCAAGCAATGCCAACAATAGCCATTATGAGCCTCTCCTCCACCAAGCTTTTAATTAGTCCCTTAGACCCTCTACTTTTCCAGACTCCTTCCACTTATGAACTGCCTTTCAAAGACTTTCCAAACTTCACTCCGTATGTTCTTGAAACCAAAGCCCCAAAGGTTCCTCTGAACAAACAGATGAGTGCCAGCTCTGAGTATAATGGATTTTGGACAGCATGTTTTACTGCCCTCTGTAGGACTCTGGCGGTTTGCTTCAATATAGACTGTGTCTACATTGAAAATTACAATAATAAAAGAGTGAAAGAGAAATATTCATGCAAAGGTTAAGTCTGTGATTTCAGTGTCAAGGACACCAAATAGAAATGCTACATTTTTAATATTATCAAAATATGTTTCATACGTTTTAAAACTGTGTAATGTTATCGGGTTATTTGCATATTCTCTAAAAAGCATTACTCTAAAAATAGTACAAGCAAAACCTTTCAAACATACTGTTTTCTCACATCTACTGACGATTTCCATCTATTTCTACTTAATCCAACCCATAACAATGTCTTCTGTTCATGTTACCTGTTTTGACATAGTCACAATAATTTATCTTTTTTAATTTTACATTTATTAATTATTCTTAATTATTATTAGACGCTACCAAAAGAAGCACATTATAACATACCAGAGACATTTTTCAGCATACACTGTTAAAAAAACCTTTCTAATGATTGTATAGTTGTAGTGTCTATGTTTTCTGTCTACATTACACAATTAAGAAAAACATGAGAGATCGATTCCATTCCAAAATGGATTTCTAAGTTTTTCAATTTCATGTTGCATTTGTTGCACAAAAGCAGAAAGTCAGAAATTATGGTATACTATTAGATGAATAATTGCACTGTTCAAAACACTGTTTACAGCCCTAGGGCTTTAGTGATAAGAAGAATCATTAAAACTGTTTTAACAAAAAAGCTATAATAAGTCTGAATTACTCAATACATCCCATAAAGAATTGTCTAAATTATCTAATTTTGTCAATTAATTGTCCGCAATTATCTTTAAAATACAGCATCCTGAAAAAGGGAAGTTTCTTGTTTATATATGTTTGTGTGTGTGTGTATTTATATATATATATATATACAGTGTTGGGGGTAACGCATTACAATAGACAAACATTTGTGTGTCTTTGTTTATTGCTGAAGTGTGTTGACATTTCTTCTTCTGCATTCTACTGTACGGACGTAAATTTACTTTCCCTTCAGCCTGAGGCTTATTCATTTCACTTTTGGTGTGAAAAGGCTTTTATATTTGCCAAAAATAGAACTGTTTTATTTTAAAAACAAACAAGCAAGCCCTGTCCAGATTTTAAAAGTAACGCAACCGCATTACTTTCCATAAAAAGTAACTATTTACCGTAATTAGTTACTTTTTTATGGAGTAACGCAATATTGTAATGCATTACTTTTAAAAGTAACTTTCCCCAACACTGTATATATATATAATCCAAATAAGTTTACAGATCTTTATTAGAAAGTATTTAAACAATGTTTTGGTAACACTTTATTTTGATAGTCCGCTTTAGACATTCTACTAACAGTAACGTTAAGTAACTTTGCAACTACATGTCAACTAGCAGTCATTAGAGTATTAGTAGACTGTCTGCTTAATATAGGGCGATTATTATCATTCAACTGAACTGTGTGCATGTATTTTAGACACTTACATTGTCCATCCATGCAATAACTGTCCTTCTATCAACCTAGTTTTCTATTTACTTATACTGCTGTGTGCTCTGGTAATATCGAAGGTATGACCCATTTCAGGAGCTGACAAAATTACGATTATAAATCAGAGCATAGCTCACATTCACTAAAATATTGAAACGCTAATGATGCCGATTCAAAACGACAACGCCGGTGATTGACAGTCAAAACAAAGCGCGTTTTGAACGCCCCGCCCCCGCAGCTGAACTGGAAGTTTTGATTGGTTTTGCACCCGAGCCAGACCTGTCTGTTATTGGCTGAAGCGCAGGGCTCCGCCCCAGCAGTCAAACGCCGGCTCGCTCTGTTTGTCCATCGGCACCTCCTTTGTCTATTTTATTTTATTTATTTTTGTACTTTGTACTTTTGGTGAAAATTAAATGTAGCGAAGTTGAATACTTTAGTTTTATTCTACTCAAGTCAAAGTACCACAATTTTAATTATACTCAAGAAAGTAGGAAAAAATGTACTCAAGTACTGTAACGAAAGTATTTGTAATTAGTTACTTTCCACCTCTGGTGGTAGGTCACGGTTACAATAACTTATAGGACATTAAAGACTTTTCTTACTCTGAAAAACACCAGAAAGAAGTGAGTGAAATGTAAGAGGCCTAAGACAAAGCTATATGGAGACAAAAGGACAGCTGATCTTCCTTGCAGTGGCAAACGTCTAATCAGATATCACCCTAAATGTGAATGTGAACTTGCAAGTGTCTTGGTGGAAGAGTCGAGACTCGTTATTCCATTTCTATTCATCAAATACCTGTGAAAATTGTTCAGTTTATGTCTCAGTTGTTGAATCTTTTCACATCCATACAGATATTCACACATATTAAAGGGATACTCCACCCCAAAATGAAATTGTCATTAATCACTTACCCCCATGTTGTTCCAAACACATAAAAGCTTCGTTCGTCTTCGGAACACAATTTAAGATACTTTGGATGAAAACCGGGAGGCTTGTGACTGTGCCATTGACTGCCAAGTAAATTACACTGTCGAGGTCCAGAAAAGTATGAAAGACATCGTCAGAATAGTCCATCTGCCATCAGTGGTTCAACCGTAACGTTATGAAGCGACAAGAATACTTTTTGTACA